TCAGTTTAAGTAAGAATTTGAGAACATGCAGTGATGGGTTGTTCTTAAACCAAAATGTTGTCCTTAAGCCAAAATATCACACTTCTGTTGTCAAGTTTTTCACTGATCAGGTAGATATTGCTCAGCAATTAAATTCCAACTCACAGCTCTCAAAGGATTATGTAAGCCTGAAAATACTGGAACTTCACGATAAAGTGCTCGTGTGTATATGTGCTGCTTTCCACCGAGTATCTATTACTGAAAACAGTTGCTCTCTACTTTCTTGCCTGGTTGTACAGCTTGGGATCTTAGTGCCAAAGGAGAATTTGCTTCAATTTCAGTCGAAATTGAAAAGTAGATTCTTGAAAATTGAGTCTAAATTGGATTTAAAATGTTGCTTATAACCACAAATTTAAAATCACTGTTGTTTCTCTCTCTCTCTCTCTCTCTCTTTTTTTTTTTTTTTTAAGCATAGAAGTGTGAGACACTTAAAATCACAAAACAAATTTCTAGGATATTTTTTACATGATGGTTGTCACTTGCAGCCTAATTTGCAGTAAGGTGAAATCATCATCAACAAATATTGAAAGTTTGTTCTAAATTGCTGGTATGTTCTTATTTAGCAGATTTTTTTAAAAAATCCTTCTTTAGAAAGGCTTTTAAAGTACATCTGTACTTGTTCTCTACAGATTCGATTTTCTTGTAAATACATTAAAAACTCCCTGTAATCCCAAGTGATTTGTGGCTTGTGCCTCTGATTTAAGCGCAAATATGAAAGCAGAAGCTATTGCTGAGAGAACTGCAGGTTTCTCATGTCATCTTTCATTGCTTTGCACTTATTTGTAGTTTTACTGCCATAAACTACCATTATAAAGAGGAATATAAACACAGCATGTGGCATAAGGCTCAATCCTTCCACATTCTTAAACATCCTCTATATTTCCTATGTTGAAATAAATATAAGCTAAGAATATCACAACTCGCAGCCTTCTTGGTTGTTTTTGTTGCCATTAACGTTCTTACCATGTGCACGGTCTTCAGTGGGTTTTTAGCGCAGCTCCGTACAACATAAATGACCAAAAATAAGGTTGACAGTAGTTTTATTCTTCTTAAAGACTTGTCTTGAAGTGCTTAAATATAGCAGTTCAGGGTAATAAAGAAGAACATGTCTTCTCATCCTCTCACTAACCTTTTGGAGACAGAAAGCAGCAGGGACTGTCGCACAAAAACATGCTTGATCAGACCCGTCCCTATAATAAACAGCACTCATGAACTACCCAGGAGCTTAAAGTTGCACTCCCAGCCTTGGCTCGCTTACAGGCTTCTTTTTTTATATTGATCAGGTCAAAACCAAATAAAAACGAACTTCCATTCAAGTAAAAAATGTTACCTACCTACCAAAGATAGGGGCTTTCTTCGATGGAATTGGCATGTAAGCAGGTAACATAAATTAAATCTGCAGCATGGGAGGAGAAGATAATAATCTCTTACTGAGTTAAATGTCTGAGCTCCTATGATCTTGTTCTGCAAAGAGGTGGATTAATTTTGCAATAAACAGCAGAGAGCAGCTCTGTAATTCCCTGCGGCTCCCTGAAGATGCTGCCTGATCTGATTAACTCCAACTCATCCCTTTATTGTTCCTTTCAAGTTGAAGGGCTCAAGCTCCCACATACCAACTGCCACTGAAGAACATGCTTGCTAACACTGTTACACTGTTAAAATTACTTTTCCTTCCAATTTAAAAGAAAAATATTTCCTTCTAACTAATCTCCTCTGTGTTTTCAGCTATAACCTGCAAGCAGATATTTACCTCGCTTGACTCTACATGTTGTACATTTGTCTACAGTACAAGCCTGAACAAGCAAGAAAGAAATCTTTCCCATGATTTGTTTGTTTTCTGAACATAAAATACAAATGAACATGTATTTTTTTTTTCTTCTGTGTATTTATTAAACTTCATTATCTTCTAGGCAAAGGTATTAGCAAGACCAGAAATATTTTTGTTTCTGATGAAATATCTACTGACCTTAATTGTTGGCATTTCTCCAGTCTTTTGGGTGGGAAGTAAGAAGACCTGCTCTGAATGGGCCAATTTCTTCAACAGAAACCGCAAAAGAGAGTAAGAAATTCTCTTTATTATTATTTCTGGCTTTTAAAGTGCGTATTTTAAAATATGTTGGATGTAAGACATTTTCCTTAAATATAGCTCAGGTAATCAGTGTCATCTTTGGGCTCTCTCTTTTTGGAGCTTAAACGCTGCCTAGGGACGTAGACAAAATACCAATGGAATCTATGGAAATTTTATGTAGGCAATGACGTCTTTGACTACCTTCTCAGAAGACAGAGGTCTGTTTCTCACTCCCATTTAACTCGGGGAAGGTAACTCTGCCATCAGCTTGCCCTTCCTCGGCTGCCGCTGCGCGGAGCTGTGTTTGCTGCCATGCAACAACAGCACATCGTGGGCTTTCCTTGTCTGCCCTCCTTGTGTTATTTTAGAAGTACTTGCATTGTGCCCTACTCAGTTTCACTTACTGTATTGCACCACTTTTTTTCTTGAACAGAGTAATCCACTTTTATTACTGAGTTTTTCATAAAATTCTGTCTCTGGATAGAAACAGATTATAAACAGAGTCTTGGTTTCCTATAGTTGTTCTTTTCTTTCTTCTTTATTCCGTGATTCTTTCTTTTTAGGTTACTACTTATAGATTATGAATGTGTTTTTAGATCTCTCTATTCCTGTGCATTTCCCACACCAGCAGTCGTAACATCCTTTTGGTTTATATCTGCATTCCTTGATGATGAGCTCCCTTCCCTCTCCCTTCTTTTCCATTTCCTGTACATTTTTCTGGTTTCAGATGTTAACGTTTTTCAGTCATAAGTTTTTAAAAATAAGTCAAATTTGTAAGTCTACCATTTCTTCACTTGAGCAAGGTTTGCATTAATAAATTTAATTTAGTAATACAGCTGCTTATGCACTAATCCTACTTTCCTTTCTTAGATGATTAACCCCCTGACACCATTGGAGCTGCTTGCTGAAGTAAGAGATGTAGAAATTGGCTTTAATTGTTTCCCAGACATAGTAACTCCAGAGCCATTATAACCAGATTTTTCCCCCTCTTCACATGTAATTGTTTTCCTCCTATTCATTACATCCAACTCAGATCACCCCATTGGTTGCTCTTCTTATACATTTTTGGTTTAAGAAACTATGTATTACAGTAATTATCTGAATTTATGCTCTTAATTTAGTCACACTTTTGTATTTTCTTTCAGTCCGATCAGTGAGAGTCGCAGAGTGCTGCAGGAATCCTGTGAGTTTTTCTTGCGGCACAATTCCAAAGTTAAGCACAAAAAGAAGCACTACAAATCCAGCTCACACAAACTGAAAGTTATTTCCAAGTCCATGGGGACTAGCACAGGTGGCACAACAAATCACGGAACCTCTGCAGTCGCGATCACTAACCATGACTACTTAAGCCAGGAAACTGTTGCAGAAATTAAAACATCTGCAGACTCGTCTGAGAAAGAGGTGGAGGCAGATGGAGCCCAAAAAGGCGAGGGGAGCGAAGACTTGTGTGGAGACCACATGTTATCCAGTTCTAAACTGACTGTGGATCAGGTGGAAAAAAGAAGCAAAGCAGATACTTCATATGAATTGAGCAGCTTGTCTGGGAGTGTGAAGAGAATAGGTGAAGGAAGGTAAGACTTTCGACCTCCTCTTTGTGCTGCATATTTACATCATCACTACTCCTGTGCATTTGCTGTTTCTCCTATATCTGAGGAGTCAGTATGCAATCAAACCTCAGCTGTCAACAAAGAATGCTGTAATTCTTAAACATTTTTTTCTATAGGGTCTCACATAATGTAGCTTTAGCCTGCAGGCTAATTGTTTAGGATTTTTTTAAGTGACAAGTGCCAGAGCTTTAGCTCTTACGATGTTTTTCTTTCAAGATCTTTGAGCTAGATTTAAGGTACAGTGCTACAAAGCTCAGAAAAACATGTCACTGGGGGTGTAGAGAAATGTGTGGCTGCCATACATTGTGGAAAAGAACAGGCTCCCAGGATTATGCAGAACTGCATTGAAAAGAACACAGCTGAAGTTGCATTGTGTTTGCTGCTATAAACGTGTTTCCTTTTCAGAGTAATGTATTGTGCTTAAAACTGACTTTCTGTGTTTTATTTTTAATTACTTACAGGTTAACTCCTAAAACTGATTTTATGGAATCTCCTCCTTTACAAAGCAGCAGTTCCCTAATACCCAATGTCTCACAGACTGGTTCCATGTCACTACTTGTCTACTCGGCTTCGGACACCAGGAAAGAGTTGGATTCTGGAAACAGTTTAAACCCTTAAGAGATTGCATACGAACATTTTCAGTTTCTAAAACTGATAAGGATTCTGCATTACACTGGAAATAATGGATATTCTGTGCCTTATAAAAAAAAAAAAAGACACATACCCTGTTTTGCACTTATAGAAATGTAAGTTCTGTAGTGGGGCAACTAGCAATAATGTACTATACTTAATCCCATCCAGGACTAATGGAAACAGAAATTCTATAGGACACAGCTGGATTGACTGGCAGTAATTTAAGAGATGAGAGAAACAATTATTATTCTCAATATTAAGAATACTTTGTAATAACTTGCATTAAAATAATGCATAGGAAGCAGTGTTACTTTTCAAAAGTTCCATCTGCATCTTCAAAATTTTCAGATCTTGTTAATAACCCTTTCTCTTTTAACTCTATCTTGAAAGTTTGTATCACTGAGAATTGACATACAAAGGTTTTACAATACTTTGCAAGGATTGTGAAGTACAGTATGTGTTTTAAAATGCAAATAGAAAAATACAACACTCTTTAAGCTATGTATCAGGACATAGCAATTGTAGCACTGTTACGCTAGTCTGTACACTGAATATGAAAGGGAATGTGGAATTAGTGATTTATTTTGTACATAGAAATGAATTATGTAAATAACTGACTGCAAAAGATGAATATTCAGAACTACTGTTCTGCACGTGCTGTACAAGCTTGGTAGTGGGCTTCAGCAGATACTACTGAAGTCTGCAGTCTTGCAGTAATCCAAAAACAAAGTAAAACAGAAAATCCCTTTGTACATAACGTGCACCACAGACTGCACACAAAGGCAGGGCGGGTGGGACACTGGCATCCTGTTCCAGGGATGGGACAGTAAATGCAGGAGCTCTGGAAAGGGCTTCCTGACAGGGCGCCAGGACCTCACGCGGGGCAAGAAAACAGCAGATACCTGAGGGCCTGAGGACAGAATGGGAAGTTTACATTTTTCTACTGAGCTGCAATGAAAGTGTCTCTGTCTTCCTTTGTTTCTATGCAACTGACTTGAATTTTTAAAAAATTCTGTGTAAAAGTATCCTGCAGAAAATAATTTTTGAGTTAATATATAGGCTTGTTCAACACTATTTTTACTTAAAATGAAACCTTAATACTTTTTCTATAAAGTTTAATTTTCTATCTGCTATAGCAATATATTTTCTTTAAATCAAAAAGTCCTTAATACAAGTAGCCTTTTTATGGAGAGGGTGGCTTTCAAGAGCAAGTACTACTCATCCAGCATGGATAAGAGTTTCGTGATCCGGCTCTTAAGAAATCCTGGCTTCACTGAAACCTGTGTAATTCATGTAGGTAATTGGGGAGCAGGATTTGGCTGTTGGTCTAACCCTAAAGGTCAGTGCGTTTTGTCAGACCATTCAGCATTCTGCAGTTCTGTTATTGGTGATGTGGCTGCTTTTCTGTGCTGGGCAGAGAAGTTGCTCCCTGCCAGTTCGTGCAGCTCGTGGCGATGCTTTGACCCGTCGAGCAAAACTGCATGATGCAAAGGGCACGTAAAGGCGGATTCAATAGGAAATACACTCTGATAAACCAAAGTTTTATCAATCGTGTGTTAAAAATTGAATGTATTCACCTTATTTGTCTTCATTTTAGCATTTGTAATTTATTGCCCAAAATAGGATGTGCCATTTGTTTTATAGTTTGCCTTTTAAGAATATATATTCTTGCTACTGAAAAACAGTGAAAAAATAGACAATATCTTCTGTGAAAATTAACACTAAACACCCTTCACTCTTCTAGTAATATTTGTAAAGAGAAAACTTTTTACACACTTTCAATAGTTTTGTTATGTTGTCTTTGTTAGTAATAAAATACTGTTGTATAGGAGGAGCTTCTGAGTCGGTATTTTTCTTATTAACTAGATTTAACTTTTTTTTTTTAATTGCTCTACTACTATGGTGTTTTTGCACCTCAGACTCTTTATTACCTTTGACAGCTGTAAGTAAAAATATATTAAACACTGATGCTTCTATCCTTCTTGTGCAAGGGAGGAAGCAAGACAGAGCAAAACAGTGCAAATTGCCCAAACGTAACTGTAGAGTTTATGAAAGAGCAAGAAACTACCTTCAGGCTGGCAGACAGAGCATTTTTTTTGTACAGGTCCCTCTCTCTAAAGAGCTCCTTTAGTTTACAGAGAACAGATATTGCCACAGTATCATCTTGCTAAATTTTCTTAAAATGAATACTGATGCGCTTTTAAATTTACTTGTTTGGGGAGGGAAAGCTATGCTTTTTTGTAAGTGCTATAAAATAGGTGAGTGCGAAGAAGACTAAGTTAGAGATGATACTTAAAAACAACTGCATTTTCAAAGAACTTTGAAACTATAACTAAAGAGTTGTCGGAACATTCCTTTAAAATGGAATATACCAGTGGCGTGATCAGATTGTAGCATTCGTGTTCCCATAGTGCTGCCATAAATAGCTGACAATGTGAATTCCCCAGGTAAACATTACAGTTAAGAGCTTGTCTGTGATCTTTGGCTGTTTCACCCTGAAAATAACAAGTAGTATTTAGAAAGTAAAGTAGTGAACGGAGTGTCCACAAAAATG